TTTTTTGAATGATGCATGCTCCTATGCTTGCTTTGATGCATACAGCCTGACGTTTGACAAATAATGAAATTAGCAATTATTTCTTTTTATTGGTGCATGCAAGGAAATAAGCTATAAAGTAATCCATATTAAATAGAAAAATTATATATATGTAACATGCAGTGTTCAATGCATAAATGAATTCTAGCATACATTAGAGCAGACATGACTGTATGCATGCTATCATTGAAGAAATCGAGCATCGTATATAATTCCATCTTTTTACTTGTACTCTAATATTAATTTTAGATATACTAATAATTAAACTTTTAATTTTTATTAAAGTACACAAACACACACATACACACACGCGCGCGTGTTCTCTTACGTGAGAAACTTATGTGAGAAATTAAATATAAATAAAAATAACAAAATTATATCAATTTATTTATATTTTTAAAATTTAATTTGCGAAATAATATCTATTTTTAATATGTACTATTAAAATATTTAATTGCTTCAATATTCAATAATTTATATAAAAACTGCAACATTTCATCTACTAGAGTATCCTATAGAAATAGAGAACATAATAATAAAGTATATATTCTGAGAGTATACATAATTGTATATACGAAAGAAATTACTATCCCAAGGTTATTTTTTATAACTGAATTAGTATACACTTTTCGTACTTAAAGTAAAATGGATAAAAAGCCGGTTTCACTAACACCGATTAATCCAAATCGAGATTAACTGTCAACCGTAATTGGTCAATTCTACTAAACAGCTAATACGATTAGTCAGTTAACGATCGATTGTGTTAACTGACATTAAATCAGCCCAAATACTTAAAATTTAACGAAAACGAGAAGAAAGTTCTAGCACAGTCTAGTGTATCAAGGAAGGACAAACCTCTTAGTTGTTTCTAATAACTTCTAACAATAATTATTACATTTATTATAATATAAATTTCTATTGTACAAATGCAAAATATAATTCAAATAATGCTTAATAAAATGATATAGTAACTAATAAAATCTACATTTTATAATGTATGTCAATGAAGATAATATCAACAATAAAAAAATGATCAGATTCATATAAAAAATTACTAAGTAAAATATATAGTGAATTATACAGTAAGTTAGGAGTTGTTTGATTTTAATCCTTATAAAAATAACGTTTATTTAAGATCTCTTCGTGCGTGAGGAAACTCGACTAGCAAGTAACGGAATGCGATGTGAATATTCGATTTAAATCGGTAGTTATCACAGCGCTCGGCGAGAAAATAACGATCGAGATTTGCGTTGTAATCAACAGATCAACGAGATAAACGAAAAGCTCATGTATCCGAACGATCCTCGATGAAGCAGGATCGCGTGAATCACGAGGGAGAGAACCGAGCGGATGCTGGGGACGTATGATGTGTCGCGAAGGATCCACACGTGGGGGGAAGGGTAGTTCGCACGTCGTGAGACGCAAACACGAGATTACGGCTCGACGTCGAGTGCCGACACGGCGAACGCATTGAAAAAGCAGCAGGAATCATCGAGCGGCGCCGGGATTGCCGGGAAAGAAGTACGATCTCCTCGCAGCACCCTCCGAGAATGTTCCGCGAGTGAGACATTTGCGAGATTACCTGCCAAATAATTGTACGAGGATGGGAGGTCCCGAAAGAATTGGGCAACTTACAGGTTACACTATACCAAGCAACTGCAATCCGTCGCACGTAGATTAAAGGTAATGTCTTTGTTGACAAGTGCCAGCGGAACACAAAGTTAGCTCAATAACAACTAATGCCATTGTTCTCAGCCATATTCGCTAGACTGGCGACTACTGGCGACCCAAGCGGCCAACTGAAGACCGCAGGGCTACTTACGATACAGAGGCCTAGTTTCCACCGAGGGTTTAATCCGGATTAGAATGTACAAAACCAACCAACTACAGTCGAATATTCCCCTGTTACAGCCAAATGACAGGGGAATGCTCGACTGTAATTGGTTGATTGGTTCCTACATTCTGATTCGGATTAAACCCTCGGTGGAAACTAGGCTAGAGATAGCGAAATCGTGACTGTACAGTCATAGACAGAATAGTTGCATTACTTTTTTTTAATAGGTTTCGGAATGCAGCCTGCTCACCGATTGTAATTGTAATATAATTGGTTCTTACTTATGGATCTATAAATAAGAACTAATCGTTTGATGCAGTAGGCTATATTTTGAAACCTATTGAAAAAAGTGTTGCAGCTATGTTATCTATACAACTGTACGCGCTATGAGTGTAATTGTAGGTGGTAATTAGTCGCGAGACTCGAAAACGTTATGATGGCTACGATTATTTTTACATTATTTATTTTAGAAGAAATTAAGAGAGAAGTTTTAGAGAAGTAAAGAAATGTTAAAAAAAATTGTTAATACATATCAATGACTACATTCACACAACCCTTAATCGGGTTTAATAACATCCATTATTGGATGAAACTGGCCAATCACTAACCTCTGTTACACGGCACGCTTTACGCCGAAGTTATAACATCAATGTTATGAAACTGGCCAATCATAGTTATTCTTCTGAAGACTGGAATGCGTGTCGTGTAAACATAGTAACAATTCTATTCTTCCAAGGAACAGCCATGATTGGTCAATTTCATAATTACGGATATTATTAAACCCCAAGTGGATAACGGAGGTCAGTGACTACATTTACATAGCTTGATTTATGCCGAAATTATTACTGACTACGGTTTGTTTTCCAGCTAGGACACAGAGACGTTACATTGTGTTTCACTGTGTAAAGTATTTGTTTAAACACAGTTTAGTTTCATAGTGTAACACCAGAATGCATTGTAGTTTTCCATTCTTATTCTTATAACTATATTTAACGTCTAGATTTATGATTTTTATTTAGACTTAAGTTATAATTTTTTCAGAATTGACAATTTTTGAAAGTTTTATTGCAAAATAAGTACGGCTACCAAATAACTTTCTGAAAAGTTAGTAACATTAACATATTTTTCACGTTCGTACTTAGCTTTTTGCAGTGTAGAGGGCACAATAAAAAGAGCAGAGAACAGAAAATAAGAATTTCAGTCTATCAGAAATGTATTGTAGAAAATAAATAATAATAGTATTGTAGAACATAGATACATAGTCTTTGTTCTCTGTTCCTTTTTTTGTGCGGAGCCCCTAGGATGCCGTCTTATGTACACAGAATCGGAACGACAGAACGGATTTATTACTAGAAATTTTAAGATCACTAAAATTCCGTTCCGTAAAGAGTTTCTCTATCCATTCCATGTAGCCGGAACGGAATGAAAACGGACGGAATATCGCTTCGGTCGCAAGTTAATTTGCTTAATTTAATCGATATTTCGATATTTATCTAGTTATTTTAATGAGCCTAAAGCAGTAATATGCATAATTTGTGCAATTATCTTATCTATAACATTATTTCGAATACTCAAAAATACTAAATTATAAGAGTGAGATATATTTTGTTACTAAAATTCCATTGCGTTCCGGCTACATAGGACGGGCAGAGAAAATTTTTTCCGGAACGGAATGACATGTTGAGCTGAGTTGGTTGAATCTAAAAATTGAAACGAATATTCAGAAACTTTTTTTGTAAATCTACAACGATGGATAAAGAAGTAGTGTTATTACTCAGCAAACGAGAATGGATTACAATATTGAGTACAATCAATATTTACACAAAGAATAAGACGGCGCACCAAGGCGCAAGTGACAATTTAATCTTTGAAATGCAAACGCATAGAATTTATAGTGATGGAAGAAGGGAATACAGATGTGATCGAGCTGTGAGTAAGATCTAAAAGACAGAAATATCTTTCTATCCTCTACTATTCTCTTTTGGCACATGCAAAAAGAAGAAAAGTTACTTAGCAGGACAGAAATATACATCTTCTGTTTCTCAGGCTTGCTCATACTTTTCACTCATTGATTGGATAGACTATTTCCCTTCCATTACTATAAGTTCTATTGTCAGCAGTCTATATAGAAATTTGTAGGTGGAAGCATGTTGGAGCATCTCTGACGGAAACAAAATTTTTACAAAAAATTACAGAAAAATTAAATAGATTAAAACAAGATCTCAGAAATTCTTAATTTTTTGTAGATATTTGTAATGGGACATAGAATGACGTTTGAGAGCGGAGAATTTCTTGATTTTTTAAACAAACGATGCCACTCTACATCCCACTATGAATATCTGTGAAAAACAAACAATTTCTAAGATTGTGTTAATCTATGTAGTTTTTCGTAAAAATTTTTCCGTTAAGGATGTTATTGGAGCATGCGATGTGAACTAAACTTGAGATGAATCAGCAGATGAATTAAGCCTGAAGTTACGACAGCATTTACTTAACAAAGCAATTTCGTAAAGAAATAATATAATTTGTTTCTTTTAAAACAGAACAAATTAAATTTAATTTTTAATTAAGAAAAAAATGTAAAGAGAAATATTTAGTGCTTTTATTATTATCTCCATTATTTCATCTATACATAATTAATTAGTCTGACAATTAACGATAAAACTCTCGCACAACGACACAATGAATTAAACTAAATAAAAAAATCCTCTGCCATTTTGCAATTTTTGCGAGTTAACAAGTTATTAATTTATGAAAATAGCCAAGTTCGCCTAGGCTACCGCCAAATACAAGGGCGAGATAAGACCGCTCACAAAGACGCGTGCAGTGATGCGAATTCTAAGCCGCTTGCTGTACGGTTACTAGAAGAGAGTACAGACGGACACACAACGCAAGCATACACACGATATAGGCTTATCGTAGTGTATATGCATACACCTTTTGCCCTCTTCATGCTAGTAACTGTGCTGCAAGCGGCTCGGGATTCAAATCATTGTTGTGTAGGCAACGCTGTACAGAAGCGACATTGACATTGTTGCCAGAATTAAATCCAAAAAGAGCGAAAGAAAAAGAAAAAAGAAAAATGAACGAAAAAAAAGAAATAATGGAAATATCGAAATAGAGAATATGAAAAACTTTACACAAGCGAAATGTTGCGTTCTTTATATACTTTTCGATAAGATTCTTATTTTTTTGTTGACGGCCGGGAATACAACGTACTATTCGAAGGTAAATGATTTTCACGATATATACAAGAATTGTTCATATAATATTTTGAACATTTCATTAATATTTTAACGTTTCATAAAAATTCTTTTGCTGTTTTGGAATATTCGACATGTTGAGAATACAAATCGAACTTTTCATGAATGATTAATGTTAGCTAAGATATTTTATAGAGAAAGAGCACTAAAAATAAATAATATATATAATAATATACATATAATAATATATTATGTATATACATAAATAATATACATATGTAGATATATATTATAAAAGTTTAATAGAAAATGTTAAAATTTTACTCACCAAAAAAAGATTCTCGTTGTTGCAATTATAATTCGGTACGTATTTCCTTAAATCCCAAAAATTGGTGTAGTTCATATAGTCGTTTACATAATAGTTCATCTTGCTATTCTCATCGTCATTTTTATTGTTATTGTGCATATTGTAATTCACTTCATTTTCTTTATTGTAATTTGGCCTGTCGTACATAGTAAACTCAATTTCACTTTCCCAATTAAGCAAAATTTCCCTTTCATTATTCATTTTTTTGCTATTCACTTCGTCAAGTTACGCTCACAACGTCTATCAATTGATCAGTTCAAATGCTTCAACACGACTGAGCCACAGTAACGCAACTTTTCTGATTTTATATTGGTCAAAATGAATGCGCAGATGCGTGAAATAAATAAGTTGCTCCGCCTCTTTTTCTCCTTTTTTTATTGTTCTCTCTCTCTCTCTCTCTTTCTCTCTTTCTCTCTCTCTATTTAAATGGGCGTTTCAATGTTCCACTTAAACATTTGTCTTTCAAGCATACATGGTTTAGAGTAGAAATTTAGAGGGAAATATTACATGTATTGTCCATTTGATGAAATGTTGTGTGAAAAATCTCGAGAGTTGGTTTAATTTTTGTGAAAAAGTGAACAAAAAATAACATAGAAAATCGAGCAAAAAGAATTTCTTTATTTATTGTATTTTAAACTTATTTTTTGGACATATATGTATATAAATTTCTTTTATATCAGCTTTTTCATAACATTTTCATAGATATATAATTATGTAATATTTCTTTATACAAATATACATTTTTAAGTTAATTTAATATTTTTCCTAATTTTCTATATTTTTTCTTTATTTTTCAATAAATTTATTTTTATTAATTTTCATAAAGTTTAAATGATTTCATCGCAATATTAGGTTTATTCGCGTCGCATGCTCTATGCTCCAATATGTTCCTACAATAGCACTTCAACAAATTCGTTGGATTATGTGCGAATAAATCTAGTGAGTTTTATGAAGAATTTTGATAAAGTAAAAAAAAGAGAAAGAAGTTTAGATAATAATCATGGTTAAGTAATTTATTTATTTCACGCATGCGCACTCCATTTTGGCCAACACTAACATCAAAGATGCCGACAAAGAGTTGCGCTACTATATATACTGTGACTGAGTCTCAGTGATGCAAATGCCGGGCCGCTTGCAGCACGGTTATTAACACGAAGAGAGCATAAGAAGGTACATATTATACATTACGAGTCCATATCCGTGTACTTGCGCATGCGTTGTGTCCATGCTCTCTTCATATTTATAACCGTGCTGCAAGCTCGGAATTCGCATCACTACTGAGCGCAAATGCGCACATCTTTGTCTGTATAACTATGGACTGCTAATTGGCTTTCTTAAGTTATACCAATATGAAAGGTACCCCCGCCAGTGAAATGGCGAATCTTGATACTTCGATGATATATTGTTCACGTACAGTACAAATCTAAGTTTACCAGTTCAATGCTTGATATATATTTTAATTTCATAAATCAAAGAAAAGAAGTTACTACCCGAATTTGACCGGAATCGTCATCATTTCGATGGCAAGTGCCCTATAAAATTAGAAGAAGAAAAAAATCAAAGAAAAGAAAGAAATTAATAGTAACATTTTACTTTGAAATAAAATTATTCTATGAAGGAAAATGCATCACAATATATAAATAAAAAAATTTTTTTAAACGCACGTTAACAAAAGCTTCATTTTTAGAATAACTTTTAGCGATTAATAATATAACATTATTTGTATAGCTATTGAACATTATAGCTGTGTATGTGTAAATTTAACACAATTATATTTATATAGCTATTAAATAATATATATATATGTTTATTAACATTTGTTATCTATATTTTACTATTGTGTGTTAAATTTAAACATGCATATTTTATTTTGATTCTGTATTTTATTAAACCTAATAAAATAATGCAACATATGTCATATTCCATCTCTCTCTTTCTTTTTGTTTTATCATCGTAACGTTACTTCGTATTTCAATTATTTGCCATTTCACTGGCGGGAGCACGCGTGATGTTTGCTATGCGAGTCTCTTTGTCTATCTTACGGAAAAGATAGGAAAAGTGGGAATAAGTAGCAATCTATAATTATATAGTCAAAGGCGTACATAATATAAAAAGGTAGTGACAATGGTCTACTTTCCACCGAGGTTTAAATCAGATCAAAATGTAAAAACCAACTAACTATCGTCAAGTATTCCCCTGTTACGGTCAAACGACAGGGGAATGCTTGACTATAGTTGGTTGCTTCTTACATTCTGATCCGATTTAAACCCTCGATAAAAATGGCTATTTGATTTGTTTTCTGTTAATCTTTAATTTCAATCTTCAATGCATAGTTTAATTCCAACCTAATGATGCACTTTTGCTCCACCGATTGACGACGCGTTCGGCTAGTAGAGAGCGGTATCAATTGGTGGAGATAGAGTCTCTATAACAGCGTCTAGATGACTCTGAGGCGATTGCTGATTGGTTCCGCCATTAACAGTTGACGCTATCGTTAACTAGCGACAGCAAATAGCAGGATCCTGGAAGAAAGCGCGGTTCTCATTGATTGTCACTAGTTAACAATAACGATAATTGTTGATAAAATGTTTAGAAAATTCCGCAACACACACATAGCAGTATAGTAGATTAATAGATACACATTATATAAATCATTGCAAGACATATTGATACAATGTCAGACATATTTTTGCTTGCTTATACAATTCTATTCTATTCTATCTTTCATCTTGAATCATTTAAATTCAACTCTATTGTCGCGTATAATAGCAAGCAGTTATTTAAATTGCGCGGCAAACATGGCGATATATTTTCGATTTTTAATCGAACGGCGGACGGGCATGCGCGCGTATGCAGTGTCTAGATGTGTCTGTATAGTAACTCTAGTGAAGTAAAAGTAGAGAAGCTGATTCTCTGAGATTAGATTTGTTCGCGTATACTCCAATATGAGCTGCGTTCTGTTTCACGCATGACATAATGCATCATCTATCTTTGTTTAACATTCAGAATAACAACGCCATGCTTAAGGTGCATTTACGCAAGCGTCAAGCATTAAGCAATGAAAGCAGCAACCAATCAACGAGGCGATTTTTACAATGGTATATTTTAAGAAATATTTTTTACACCTCTGCCCGTATCGCTCAGCTGATTGCTTCTGCTAGAATATACATATTGTAAAGATGAGGGTTCGTATATACATATATTGTATTTGCCGAGGACAATATGTTCTTCTTTGTTTTTAGCAGTCAGATGTTGAATTGATGTCTTCTACGAATAGGATTGGTTAGAAGGATTCGGTTAGTACTGGTGTGTGTTGTGTGTGTGTGCGCGCGCGCGCATGTGTGTGATTTTAATTAGTCTTATCTAGATCCGGATGCACGAGAGCAGCGTCAAATACTGATCAATGAAGATTTCCTGTAAGAGATTTATTTGACAACGATTGACCTTCTGGTTTGCGACTCCTCTTGGACTTAGCTAACTCAGAGAAAAACAATTAAATCTAAGTCGAATGTTACACAAAATTTGTTGGTCGCAAAACACTCGACTTTTTTGTGTAAACAATTATTTTTGTGATATGTACCCTTTAATTTTGTATAATATTTAAAATAAAAACAGCTACTATAATTGCAAATTGAGAAATTATTTTTTATTATATACACTACATCAAATAGGCTCCTTCTTTCTACAACGTGTGGACAGACCTGAATTCGGGTAAAATCTTGGCGCCTATCTATTATTTTCGCTCCGCCTCGCTCTACGAAGACGGCGAGGAGAAAGCATTACGATTCACAAACAAAGTTGGACAGGTCTACTTTAATGCTATATTTATGATGTTCCATTATTTGTTACAATAGAATTTCGAAAAAAAGAAATTTAATTCTTTTGATGAACCGAAACCCTATTACGACAAATAGTAAAGAATAATTTAAGAAGAATCATAAATCACTTAGCATTAAAATATAGTTAATATGTAATATTGTAACAATATCATATTGTTGCGAGTAATAAAGATCTCCTGTGGTGGAACAATTTTTACAAAAAACTACAGAGACTGAGACAAGATTTTAGAAATTCTTAGTTTCTCATAGATATTCATATAACGGAAGTGGCGTTTGTTTGAAAAATTAAGAAATCCTCCGTTCTCAAACAACGCCATTCTATGTCCTATTATGAATATCTACAAAAAAATAAGAATTTCTAAGATCTTGTCTCAATTTTTGTAGTTTTTCTCTACTGTTTCATAAAAATTTTTTTTCTATCTAGGTCATAAATTATTTAGAATCAATTGAAACCATAGCATTGTTTGTTTTGTCTCTCAAGAGCTGTTTAGAGTGTCGCTCCGACATTCATTGTTGTTTATGACGGAAATCGTAGTGTGAATCCTACATTTCAAATATGCTGAGGTCATTCAATTTCAACTCAGTCCCGATTCTTGATCACAATGTCTTCTATCCTAAATGATTTATGAGAAAAAATAATTTATATATCTTCGGATTTCCAAGTATTGAATATTACATATAGAAAAAATTTCAGGTATAGAATACTTCATATATCAACCATACAATAGTCGATCCCTGCTGTTACCACATGCTGTGTGTTATCGGGATGACTAACAAAACTTTCTCAATTAATTTTTACTGTGAATTTTATTTTCATGTACATTCTTAATAACAAGATAAATCTTTTATTGTGTACTGTATCTTTCATTTTTATTATATACTTTCTTCGAATTTGTTTTTCTTTATTTGTATTTTCTTTTAATTAAATGACTATTTTTTAAAAACGAAATGTACTGACTCTTACTTTGCCCTTTATTTATTGTTATTTATTTTGTATAATAAGAGTCCTTCAATTAAATGTTTTGAACGCTTACTATATAATATTTTATTAAAAATAAAAGTGGATTAAACTAAAATATACGTGAGTAGTTTGATAAGTCTGGTAAATCTTTATGAGATGGGGCCACAATTCATTTAATGACGTAATACCTTCCAGAAAGTACCATTCTTCAAATCCTGCCAGGTCAAATTTCAGCCAATATTGACGCGTTATTCACTTTCGGTAGTCATTTAAACTGTTTAAAGCGAATGAGAAATTTAGCAATTGCCGCGTACAAAAATAAAAAAAATAAAAATTCCGTGCAAAATTACAGAATTAGACTTTGATGATTCTGCGTCCTGTTCTAAATCCGGAAAACAGAGTGGATGAGGAATCAATTTGGAACTCAATTCTGTAAGTTTGCACGAAATTTGTTTTTTGTTTTGATTGCTTCTTTTGCTTGACGTCAGTCCATTACCTCTCTGTACAATTGAAGGCTCAATGTCTGTCTTCGTCAGCCCGTTACTCCATACTTGACAAATTCTTAAGTTGACATCTCTGAGTATCACAATAACAAGTGTACATCTTTCTATATGTTTTTATTACAATGAATGTCAAGGAAGACAGAATGATGTTTGTTGTCGACTTGTGTACTAAATAGGAAGCATTGTAAGACACATAATTCTTTCCGAAGTGTGGTATATTTTCCGAAGATTTTTTCGCGCTGAATATGATGCCGTTGATAGAATTGGCGCAATACTTTTAATACATTAATTAAGATTTTAAATAAATTAAAGTAAAATGAGCATTTTTTTTGGCTATTTTTAACATTTTTTAAACAGTAAAATAGCTTGTTTCTAAAATCTATGGCATCTTAAAATTTCAATGCAAGAACTTTCAAATGAATTTTATTTCATAATCGTCCAATTTATTTTTATCAAGTTTTTTACTCTGTTTTGATTTAAAATTATACATAGAAATAATTATTGGAACAAATTAAAAAATATACATTAAAAAATATATATTTTTGAAAAGTTTCTTTTAAAATATATGAAAGACTTACTCTAGGACTTTAATGACATTAATTATATGCATTTAACTTTTATATTGGATAGGCATAATAAAGTATTTTTTCGTTAAGTACATTTCGAGTTAGGAGGTTCGAAAGTAACAGTGCTGCCGATATTTGCATTATCCGACTGACGGCTAAAATCTCTTAAATGTTGTTCAGGATCGTGACTTGAGTAACATTTGTTAAGATGAAGACCATTGGAGATTATTTCTCTTATTTTCATTTTTGCATTAAAAATTCATTTTTACGTAAAAATGAAAATAAAAAGTACAAATTTTCGAACCTCTTAACTCATAAATGTATATAACGAAAAAATACTTTATTATAAATAGTATTTTGGAAAGCTCTTGAAATAAACTACAAAAATTCGCAATAAAAATGGAGGGTTCCATTAAAAAAATTTTATGTAACATTGACCTGATCTTAAGGACTTCTTATCTACGTGAACAAAAATCACCGTCTTTTTTCCCCCTTGATAAAATATTTTGTTTGAATATTTTTTGAAAAAATTTCGAGATATTTGCGTGTATTGATCAAAATGGCTTACTCTGTAGACTAATTATTTTATCTGTCAAAAAATATTAGAAACGAAACAATAGCTATCCATAAATCTATTGTTTTTAGCAAAAAATTTAAGATTTATTCTAAACAAGTTTTGAGACAGAAAATAAAAAAGTGTAGAAAAAAGGAAAAACAATAATAAAAATGATAATAATAATAATATATTAATAGAATCAGCAGCGTCAGCATTGAGGCGTGTTCGAATTTCCTGGTGCTCCCCGGATGTTATATCATTCTTGTTTAACGTTCAGTAAACAATTATAAAAATGGAATGATATCTGGGTAGCACTCAGGTAGGAAGCTAAACATAGCTTTTTATGAAATATCTTATAATGTTAAGAAAATAAAAAAAAACGATTGAGAAGAAGAAAATATAGATAGTTATTTTTTTCAAATTTCTCGGTCAAAGTTAAAAGAGATAAAAATATTATAATATATAAAAACACTAAAGATAAACTTTTAAACGTTATAAACGAAGCATTGTATCAAATAAATTAATAAATTCAGAAAAGGCATTATATCATATCACTCATTTGCTATAACAATTACTAATAACAACTTAGAAGACAAAGTTTTCCATGAAATAAATTTCTTGTTTTGAATGAATAAAATTTTATAATATTAATTTGGATACATACAATTTTGATGCATTGAGAAAAATTTTTTTTGTATTAAACGAATACATTGTATTAAAATTAAATATTTTAACTTAAATAAATATTTATTTCGATTAGAAAAACATTTTATTTTACTTAATATTAATTATTATTTTAATAAAAAAGTAACATTATTTATCGAATTAAATATGTTACATTTTAGAAAAAGGAAATATTTACTTAAAAATAACAAAATTATTTATTGTAGAAGAATGTATAAACAAGTAGTCATAAACATAAAAATTATTTATTATTTTAATAAATCGATATATTTAAATTAAGGAAACGAATGTGATTGACATCATTAATTTGAAACAAACAAATAAAAAACAAAATATTTTTTTACGGCAAATAACACAGATTTTTAATGTATCTTTTAAGTTCAAATTAATGATGTCAATTACATTGTTACGTCCAAACTTCGAACATATGAATGGATTGATTTAGAGAAAGAAGGGAATGAAAAGGATAGAGTATGGAAGGACGTTAGAGCAGATGCTTTGTCTCACATGCATCTACAGTGGAAGGAGATGGAGCGAGTCGAATGCTCTTAGGTGACTTCGAAATATGGGTCAACGTCTCGATAAGAAGTTACTCCGCTTTCAAGAGTACGATTGTGGGTCTTATTTTGGGTCAAGGAACTGAATCCCTTTAACCCGGGACAGGACCGAATCACAGGTGCGAATCTTTATTAACAGGATGGAAATATGAGAAAATAACAAAAAAAATTACGAGCAAAATGTTCTAGTTAAGTATATATATTTATATACAAATATTTATATATAAATAAATTTATTAACTTTTTATCTTATTTTTATTTTTATTGCACTTTCTCTCAAATCTCTTAAATATATTATAAAATATGCTTCTCCTATAGATATATAAAAAACTAGAAATATATATAATATTAT